GACTCGAGTGAAAAGTTGCTAAGCTTTCCTCCTTCATATGACGGACATCATCAGAACGAGGTAACATCGTCACAACAAAATGCAAGTTAACGAGTCAAGAAAACTCGCCGGCTTGAATTTGGTTGTAACGATGTTACCTCGTTCTGATGATGTCCGTCATATGAAGGAGGAAAGCTTAGCAACTTTTCACTCGAGTCGAAGGAGGTTTCCTCGGAAACAGCTTCAGCATAAATCTTCCAGTGAAGCCAATCGACAACTGGTCAAAAGGAATCCGCCGTCGTCTTCTGGTGGAACCGACGTTCGAATCTTTTCACCCAACATTTCCACTCGAAATGGAAGTAAGCTCAACAATTATGAAACAAGAGATTCCTCTAAATCCAAATTGTCTTCGTATACATTAAAATGAATAACTTACTTTCTCTTTGTGGCCAGTGCCGTTTTCTCAAGCCTGGCTGTTGCTAGTCATACTCTAAAGTTCATTCTTCTCGAATCCCCATTCAAAGGCTACACAGAAAGTTCTCTCTTAAAAGTCTATCGGAACTTACCGTTTTGCCTCTTCCTCGTCACCTTGGTAACTTGGTGCGTTACGGGGAGATATAAATGGATAGTTGAATTTTCCACACTAAAGTGTGCGGATAACTAAATCTTTCATTCAAGACCTTCTCTTACTCTAAAAACCCGCTCATCCCGAGCATAAGCAATATTCATGTTGGAGTATCTTTAATTTCGTTGGAAGAGGCGAGTGGAAGGTAAGTTGATTCCACCTGAGGCTATGGGAAGTTGCCTTGGAGCTGTGGTTGTAGCTTTCTGTGAATTGGCAATATGGGTAGAACTGACGTTTCCATTGAATTTCACAGCCTTGTTTTCCCAAAAGATGCCCTCATCCTGGCTGAAGTGGACTGCACTTTCGAGCTCGCATAGGCCTTATCATCAGCCCCAGCAGGAGTCGAACCATGACAGTGCAGCGTATAAACTCGTCATATTAACAATTTGATCCATTGTCGCGAGCGCCTTTGGGTCACAGATAAGATGGAAATTTCATCAATGTCTGGCATTTTTCATATTACATTCTGTGTTGACGACATAGAAAACCTATATTTGCTGTAGCAATCGACGATATTACTTTTTTCGTAAGTGAGTAGGTTTTCGAGACGATCAGTAAACCAGATATATGAGTTGTATCAATCCTAATTCATTTAAGGTGATGAAGGACTGATAGTTGATTTATCCCACAATGCTATGAGTAGAACTGATGCTTCCATTGAATTTCATATAGCCTCGACATTCTTTGAAATTCACATCTGCTCTGTGACCCAAGAACACTGTTGACAATTTGGCGAGCTTACACGTTACACTGTCATGGTTCGACTCCCGCTGGGGATGTTGACAAGACCGATGCGAGGTCGAAGTTGCAATCCATCCTGGATGAGAACGAATTTTCGGAAAGCAAGGATATGTGAAATTCAATACAAATGTCAGCTCAATTCATATCATTGTGGGAAAACTCGATTTCCAGTCCTTCATCACCTTATATGAAATAGGGTGAAAACAACTTGTATATGCGATTTACTGGTCATCTGGAAAAGCGTCTTACTCACTTACGCATAAAATTCCTGTTGACCGATGGTAGGCGCAGGACTTAATCAGAAATGGTTCAGGCCAAGGGTCAGAAGGAAGGGAGGAAGTGACCGGCTCCTAAGGTCTGTCTCTAGAGCCTAACTATTTGTTGACCTCCCGTAGTGAAGGCGGCAACAGAGCCGGTCGACCCTGGGAACAGACGTGCACAGGTCTCGGTGCTACTATTGCCGTGGCCAGTTGACCGATCGGAAAGCCCAGTCTTATAGTCGCGGTTGGCGTGACGAAAGGGAGGGGAGGAAGCGAGAGGAGACCGGAGACAAAGAGGATCAGTCGGGCTAAATCCCATTGGAAATTGGCCAGACGGCTTGACACGACGTGAAGGAAAGGGGAACCGACAGACCAAATCGAATGGGATTATAAAATGGCGCTAGTGAATTGGCCGAATCTGGGAGAAAAGTAAGCCTGTTGGCCGACTTGAACGGAGTGAAGAGAAAGAAAGTTCCAGACAAGGCCAAACTTCTAATTACCATTTGTCGAGAGCACCAATCGACAGTCTCATCGGCATCGAGTTTAAGAGGTTGACTGGAGATTGAATGACAGTGGGGAAGGAAGAAGGGAAAAAAGACTGAAAGAATATTGTCTAAATGGCCCAAAATGGTACATTTACTGAGTTCGAGGGTTAAAACAAACCGATAGCAAACATGTTAGAGCCAAATTAGCACCTTAAAGACTGACGAATGCTTGCAAGTGAAGGCTATAACTAAGTCAGCAGAAGAACCACTCAAAAAGGTGGACAAAAGGATACAGCTTGGCGGCTCAGGGATGAGACACACTCAAGCCATCACCATCGTTTCCCAGAGGAATTGCAAATGAGTCCCTGCTCGAAGGTCAAACAAGATTGGCAATCGTTAGCGACAGTATTATTTCGCATACAAAAAGCACGAATTTTAAGACAATTAGGGTTACGCCAAAATGCAACTGTATGCATGTCTTTAAATTTAACACGCTACTTATTAATGGTTAGTAGTCGCTTTGTCGCACTTTCCAGGCTCCTGATGGCAGTATCTTGTGAGATGCGACATTTTCCAAAATTCCGTTTTTAATAGGATTTGTATTCTGCAATTACCATCAAAAACGTGTCCTTTATCCAAAATTGGTAGATTTAGAGACCGTAACTTTTGGATGTGAGTAAAGTATTTTTGTTTTTTATAAGCAGATTTTCTAGACTACCAGTAGATCATATATATGGAATGTATTCACCCTATTTCCTTAAAACGTGTATGCAAGTAAATTAGTCGACTGTGGATGGTCTATAATCCAACAACCGCGGTTGAAACCGCGGTACCGGATGAGAACACCTTTTGGGGGGTGAGGTTAAATGAAATTGCATAACATAGCATAGCTTGACTTCTTAAAAAGCTTTGGTTTCAGAGTTAGACTGCAGTTGCGACGGCCCCAACTGGACTCGAGATGGAGTCGTGTTCGCCATGCATCAAACTTACCATTTGGCTACACAGCATCAGGCGCCAACGAGTAACAGGGCAGATACAACTCTCAATGCAAGCCAAGTTCCTTCTAATTTGCACTTTTTTAGTGGGATTGATGAGGATGATAAGACGTACATGGTAAACTACGATGATAAAAGCCTTTATTAAGTATGTGTGGAAAGGTGTGAAGCATACCCTAAACGAAGGTAATGGCAAATACAAGTTTGCCATAACGGAAACATTCCCACATTGCCACTGGCACTCGCATGACGCACCAGAACAGAATTCGATCGGCATTATGTATACATTTATCTATTCGTATTTATGTATGTATGTATATACACTAAATAAATAAATGTAATAATAATTAAAGTCACCCTATATCTACTGAAACACATAAAGCCTTCAACTATAGTAAGAAGTTAGTAGTATGGGATATTGAATATGAATTGGCTAGTTTATTGTCAAGTCAT